AGACAGCTCACGCAACCGCGTGTACGTAACCGTCTTTACCCTTTTTTCGAAGTACCGGTGCTAGCGGAGCTACCCCCTGGCTATCGACGCCCAGGTCTTCTCCGGGTAGCCGGCCGCGTGGGTCGGGACGATTCCTCCCCTGCGGCTCGGAAGCCTTGGCGAAGTACTCGGGTACTTCCGGGCCTTGAACTGCGGCGTCCGGTCGTCGCAGGATATGGGGAACGAAGCGAGTCAGCTCTCCTTCGTGACCCTCCGTGGGTAGGGGGTACGGATCCTCTACCCAGTCTTGCAGGTACATTATCGCATTTTGTACTTGTTGGGGTAACCGAGAACGGTCTCGGTCCCCTCTTTCTCCTTATCGGGGGTACCTTGTGTCCGCCTGCCGGTAGGCGGGTCGATCCCGACGATCGACTTCGTTACGACGGTACCCGCCTCCACGGGGGGCGAAGCGAGCGCCCCTACCCGACCGATTCGGGAAACCTTGACGCGGGGGACGACCCTTGCCGACCGCTTGCCGGAGGAGATTGCGCTCCCCGGGGCGCGTCTCCATCTGGTAGCGGTGGTTCCTGTACGCCGTGAACATTCGTTGTTACGGCGACAGGAACGGGCACGCGTACATGGCATGCCCGTACGTACGGCATAGCCAGCACACGTACGCGCTGCCGTCCGTTGGGGCGAAGGTCGCCGCGTGCCGCTCCTTCTCATCGGTGAGGAGGGGCACGCGGGGCGCTTCGCCGCCTGCATCTCGGTTCGATATGTCGAGCTCTGCGACCCGGGGGTCCGTACCCCTTGCCACTCTTGGAGTGGCCGCGAACGCGGTCGCGTAACTCGATGTCGTTCCGGTCGACATCGGTGAGGGGGTTCGTGCCCCCACTGGCCCTGCTCCTTGCGTAATGAGGACAGGGTCGGCTTGCCACTCATCCTCCCCGACATGGAGGGTAGAGGCGGGCGAACTTGTTGCGGCGGACTTCGTAGTCCCGCCGGCTCTCCCTGCCGGTTTCGAATCCGGCAGAGGTAAACCGCGTTGAGCGCGGTAAGTGGTTCCTTCCGCCGTCGCGATACGGCGGATGGTCGGAAGATCGGTCTTCTGGCGGCTCGGCAGCCGCTGTACGGTTTCGGATACTGCGGCACGGGTCGCCGGTGCCAGTCCCCGCACGAAGTAGTGCGCGAGGGACTGTTCGGAGAACACCGCCGTGCACCGGAACGCGGCAGTTTCGAGCCGGTACGCGAACGTGCTCTCCGTTTCATGAGGTTGCTGTCGCGCCGTCGCGACAGCGTCGTACGCTTCACCTAACACGTCGTGGGTTAGGTAGCGTTTCAGGAACTGGTTCACGAGCCCCGGCCAACTCACGTCGTCGTGTAGTTGGCCGGCGCGGAGGCCACGCATCGTATAACTCGTATACAGGCGCTCCGCGTCGCGCTCTAAGAAGTGCGCGAGGACTCTCACCGCAACACCTTCGGTCAGGTGTTGCGAGTTGAAGGTTATCCGAATATCCTTCAAGAACGGTAGGAGCTGGATCGGATCCGTACCGTCGAAGCTCCTCATCGTGGGACGGATCCCACGGCAGCGTTGGACGTACTTCGCGATCCGTCCCGCGTCACCCGAGGTAACGAGCCTCGAGGTGTTATCCAAGCGGTACATACGATAGTCAGCAACGGCGCTGAACTCTTGGATCATCGTATGTACCGGCTCGAGCCCGGGTTCAGCGGGACCCAGCGTGCCGAAGGAGGTAACCGGTAGCGTACGGACGTCTACCGGACCTGGATGCTCGGCGTAACTCGCCGGCGGGTAGCCACCCCAGCGAGGATCGACGGAGAACACCGGTTCTCCCGATCCGCGGGCGGCTCCTCCACGGTCCTGTTCGTCCGCGTACGATACGCGGTCCATCTGTCGCCTACTTCCGGGGATAGGCGGCAATGCTTGGGTCTCGGACGCGAGATTCGCGCTCATTGAAGGACAGTTTCCTTCCGCAGTCCGACTAGTGTCGGCTCCAGTCGGACGCCAACCTTCCGGAGCGACGGCGCTCGCAGGTACGGCACCACCGGGCCCTCTCTTGGGGGCTCCGGGAAGCCTTGCGGCCATGGTCCGTTCCATGTCACGAGCACGCTGTCGCGTAGCGTTGACTCGGCGGAGAGGTGCGCGAACGCACCCAACTGTTCTGCTGACGGGGACGGTCGATCGTCGGGACGTCTCGTCGAGGTCGGCCTCGTGGGGCGACCTTGCCCGTGCAGTACGGGCTGTGCGAGGCGTGAGTCTTCGACGAGCACCAGTCGCGAGTGTAACTCGTCGACTAGTGCTCGGAGATTCTCCAAGGACTGGCTGACTCGATCGAACCTCCCTTCACGCAGGGAGCGGAGCTCGTCCATACATCGCGAGTAGACGGCGTCCGTCACGTCTATCCGGAGTGAAGTACGGACTTCCTCGATGTAGTCAGCTATGCGATCGAACATCGCAGCCGCTTGTCCTTCGGGGGACTCGGGCGACGGTTCGCGGCCTCGGAGACCAGCGTCGCCGTCGCCGAACGGCGGTGATGGTGCGTGCATAGAGGCCGCCCTCGGATCTGCCGGTTCGGACCGGATCGAGGTGGCGTATTCTTGACTCATCTGAACGCGTACGGACGCGGAGGAAAAAGAAAGTTTTCTCCGGAAGATCTCGGGGTCTTCTAGGTCGGGAGACCACTGTGGCATAAACACCCCCAGACGATTGGAGGTGTATGCGCAGTTCGGCCTGTAGACTCCGGATCGGAGAAGGGGGAAGCGGGCCAACCAGCTACGGAACCGGGCTCGGGCTCGGGTAGCGGTGGTAGAGCGGGAGCGAGCAGGGACGCGCGCACGCACGAGCGGATCGACGCCTCGACGCCCTGGAGCAGCACTGGGTGACGTACCAGTGCTGACGGGCGGAGGCGGTTCCGTGCTCGCTCGCGTGCTGCGCGTCCACTCCGGCTCGGCTCCGACTAAACGCGCACGAAGAGCGAAGGCGACGTTTAGAATAAGCTGGGTAGACTGACCTTGGCGGTCGGTTGAGGACAAGTCCGTGCTTGTCCCCCTCCTGCCGCCGTCGGTCCGCTCCATATTTAATATACAAAACAATCTATCATAACACTACAGTACCAAGGTACTGTAGTGGGCTACTGTAGTGCAGGTCGGCCTGCACTTTAATACTGTCAGCTATGTGAAGGCTGACAGTACACGTATTACCCGTGGTGCGTGCGCGATTCGTTCGCGCGTGGTACACGTGTGCACGTGTGCTGTGGGCATACGTGGACACGCTCGGTGGTATTGTAGAGCATCGGGCTCTACAGTAACTAAATCAATCGTGATCTAATCTAAAGTGAGTACCGCAGGGGGGGTTATGCTACAACACGGAGGTTCCAACGGGTTCGAGAAGTCGGTGGAAGGCTTTTCCTAACATCAATAAATCGTTTAATTTATTCCCTTTACTTTTCTTGGGACGAAATCCCACATTGTGAGCACATTTGTTGGTGTAACAACTCAGGTCCATTCCATTCATCGTGATTGGCAATCATGCAATCACGCAATCACGACATTAATTTAACGTCGTTCTGCATCGTTCCTTTCTCCAACGTGTGCTACTTGTAGCTGTAAGCACATTTCCACGGCTTCGCATGTGCATGTGTTAACGCACTTCTTGCTTCATTCCATTGCACGTTTGGCATTTGAATGGGGTTTAAATCTTTTAGAATTGCAAGGAGCATTACAAGAAGTTGGAGCACAAGATTAAATTTAAGATTAATTTTAAGTCGATTGTTTATTTCTTTAATGAGCATGACCATTTTTTAGGAAACGTAATATAAACAACCAACCACAAGGGAGCAGGCACCATTTATTGACGTGATTGTGTGCGTGCGTGATTGCCAATCACGATGAATGGAATGGCCCTGACACATGGCACTTTTCGTGTTCGGGCGTCTGGGCCTGCACTAGTGGGAGGGTGGCACAAGCAAAAGCGACACTAATGCGAGTCCCCCCTGTACTTAAAAAGCCAGGCATTGGGACCGGAAAATATCAACCGTGCTGTAGTTTTTGCCATCACTGTCGGTCCTTGGAGACCTGAGACCTACTGAGGCACCGGCCCAGTACGTTCTGGCAGCGTGGAGAGCGACGCACGAGCCGCTTTCCCCCCTCCCGCATTTGCATCAGCCCTCTCCCTCCCAACCGGGTCGCGGCATAACATGTAGTTCCGTGCTCACTTTCTGACG